TACTAGAGTTGAGCATTATGTGCGTGTAATACGTACATGTATTGCACATTTATTCACGCGATAAGGAAAACGTACGTGTAGTGATTTTTAGTAATGATAATATCTCTATAATAATGGTAATAAAGCAGTTCAACTTTTAGATTGTTATCTCTTGCAACTAAATAATTGTTTAAACACAAATGAAATGGTTAAAAGTCCAAAATGTGGTGTTACAGGCGAATGATGAGGATAGAGATGGTTAGAAACAAAGAGGTATTAGAAAGAATAGGAAAACAGAGGATTCTATAGAAGTCAATAAAAAATAGGCGAGATATTAATAGGAAACCTTCTCAGGCATGAAGGTCTATAATTCCAGATTAGCTTTAGGCAAAATTTGTCATTAGCATTTGTAAATAAGATAATGAGATTATCTTTCACTTATCAGCTTAGTTTTTTTTTTTGATAATTTTTTGACATATGAATTGTAACACATTTACTTAAACACTTCAATGTGCTTCCACATAGTCTACCGTACATTTCACAAACTTCTAGGCAAGTAACGATAATTCTTTTAGTTAAATTACAAATATTTACCTATAAATACAATAATTTTAAAAAAGATTTCAATGACAATATGTTCACATTATTTTATTTTCTAATATTCATTTATCAGGTCTAGTGCTCTACTAGTAAAACTTACGTAAATTTTTACATTCATTTAATGGCCTATTTCAATTTAATAAAATGTTGTACAGTTTATGTTTCGTCATTACATAAAAGTAGGTCGAATTCCACCTTTATGTAGGATTGAATAAGAGAGGTTGTTCTTTAATTGTTCCTTTTGACACCAAAATATCAATTGTTTTAAGTATACTTAGATTCTAAAATTTAAATTGTATTTATGTAACTAAACGGCCATTATTAAAAAACTAAATTAAGTTCTTCAAAAGAAGAAATATATTGTGTTGTTGAAAAGGTTGATAGAATAACTAAATCTTTAAGTATATTGGAATTTAGGAAATATTCGTTTTAGTACTCACAATTTTTTTAATCATTGTATTAATTGAGGATTAAATTGATTTTATTTTTTTTTTAGATGGCAACCCTACAACATAAAAAAGTATACGAAGAAACTACAACAACTATAAGACCGAAAAGGCGAAGAGTTAGGGTTGGTGATCCAGACTTTGCACCTCCAGATGGAGGTTGGGGTTGGCTAGTATGTTTCGCCTGTGGCTTTAGTAATGTAAGTATCTAATAATAAAACGATAAAACGATTTAATTTTTTAAATTAGGTAACTTCAATTATCATTAAGTAAACAAACACTTTCGAAAATGTGTCTCATTTAATTTTGACGATGAAACTTTTATCCAAAAGCTATACTGTGAAATAATAATGCATTTATGTAATCGCTATCGTAAATAACAATTATGCACATGTATTTAGACGAATAGTTAAATTGCTTACTAATTAAATGCTAATTTTAACTTTTATGAATCTTTTTGAACAGACAATTATCATATATGACCTGATTTCATTTTTAAGACAAATTTTACATAAATAGAATGATTTTGTTTGTCAGTGGTCAGTTCTGTTTACTTTTCTTAAGCAATTATGTAATTATAAATAAACTTTATAGATTTACGATTTCAAATTATGTTCATTGCTATTACATTGATACATACAATAGGTAGATTTAAAAAATACAAGTGTACGTACAGGGATATCCTTATTAGAAAGTAAGTTTTCTTCTTACTTTCACCCTTTCACTGCAAGGTGCAGGTTGCATTTTTATTGAGGTTACTTGGTTAATTGTAAACTATGAACGTTTGAGTAAATTTAATATGTTGTATATGATGCTTTGAAGATTTTAACAAATGATTCTTTTTGCTAATGAAAGATTTTAATTGTCTATTATTTATAAATATTATCTATCGATTATGAAAAACAGCATCATATGACAAGGATTTAATTACTATATTTGCTTTCTTATTTATTCAACAAACATATCGCATTACGATAAGATAACAATTAATGAAAGTTTTTTGAAGTAGAATGAATGCAATTAAATTGCTTTAAATCGTACAACTGCTTGTTTAACTAATGTACGATTTTATTATATGTGATGGTACTTTTTAATAATCTTATGTTTTCGTGATTCATTAAGTACCTACCGACTTGCCAATAAGTTTTTATCTGATAAAAAAAATATTGTCTCAACTGTTTTTATATTGACTGTATGGTTTTTTTTTCTGAATGTTAATGAAGAGTTTTGCTTAAAAATTCTAGATTCCTATTCGAAAATTTGTTTGTACCTTATCATCGTTGACGCTTGTCTCGTCATTTTTGAAGGTTTGTTTTATATATGACGTGTTATATGCAAAATATGTCGTTTTATATTTTTTGTATGACCACCCAATATCATGCAAGCCAGAAATTCTCAAGGGTCGCTCGAAGTAACTCCTCCATTTGTGTAGGATTTTTATTAGTTTTAAAAATATATGATTGATTCCTATTTTTTTCAGTTCTGTTTTCGGTTGGGCGATATTTTTTATTGCGACGTGATAAATGTTGAATACGTTTAAATTTTGTGACACATTTAAAATAAGTATTGACAAATTATGTATACACGATGGCCCAAAAAGTTGTTTTAAACTTTAATCGAAAAATTTTACCATGTTAAATATGGCTCCAATCGAAAAAAGTTGTTAAGAATGCCAAAATGTGGGGCTACGCAAAAAATTACGGCCATATTCACTTTTTGGGACATTTGACTCTAAGAAAAGGCATTTGAATATGGGGGCTATGCAAAACATCGCGCTGATATTCAAATGTCTTTTTTTCGAGTCAAATGGCCAAAAAGTGAATATCGCCGCAATTTTTTGTTTAGCCCCATATTTTGGTATTCTTAACATTTCGTATATGTTTTTTTGATTAGAGTCATATTTCAAACGGCTACCATATAAACAAAACCTTATTTTTCAGACTATCTTGAATTAAAATAGGGAACAAGTTTTGTTTTGTTTGAAAAATTTTTCGACTAAACTTTGGCTGTGATGAGTATATTGCGTACTTTTTGGGCCACCCTGTNTCTCGTTCAGAGACTGGATACGAAATGAAGATCTCTGAACGAGAGACTCGAGTCGCTCGTTCAGAGACGCTAAACAGTTTTTTTGACAGTCTCTCTCATCGACACCAGAGGGACTCGATGAGAGATGGAAACTCGAGTCTCGCTTTCAGAAATTCTAAAAGACTGAACATTTTTATTCGAGTAAGTTCAACTGAAACAGCTTCTTTCAAAATTACTTCCTTATAAAACACTTATTATTTGTAACTACTTTTCCTTATGTATTATTTTAACCTTTCAATATACCGTTAGTGAAACGAGTCAATTTATTCGTTCGTTTTGTGCCATGGTTGATTGTTTTGTTTGTTTCATTACCCTTGTCCAAATATTCAATTACCTCAATTGATCTAAATGCTGTGATTGCCATTTAATTGTCCGATAATAATTGAACCCTCATACCAGACATAACTATTACGATAACTAGCGTAGGTATTAAGCGAGCATTGCAGAAAGCAGCGTCTATTATAAACGATCCATAATTTATTATTCCATTGCATAATGTTGCCTACTCATTCGGATTTCAATTTGCAAGGTTCTGTGTACAAATAATATTATTATCAACAATAATAATAGTAACAGTAATAAAAGTGGTAATGGTAGTTGAATGCATGTATATTCTTGAATTTACAAAAGGAACTGAGCCGCCTGTAAGGTGCGGCTCTTGGGATAATGTAACAATTGAAACCTTAGTGGAAGAACAATAGATTTACAAATATAATTATTATGTTCGACGATGCTTCGAAAGGTCATTTGAAATTACGATGTATCAAAGCTGTTGACATTACAAGTATGAGACATATGATATATTACAAGCTTTCTGAGCTATTTGAGGTCCTAAATACGTGTCAAATGTCATCAAAAATACAATAATTTGATAAATACTCTTGACCAGGATCATCAGGATAAAACTAAAGGGTAAAGATCTAGATGATGGCCCCCACCCCCTTAGGGGATCGAAAGAGGAGGTCTCTCCCACCACTGTACCATAAAAAGTTCGTGGCGGTCTCACCCCCAGGAAAAGTTATGGGGGTGAGGGTAGGGGGATAACTTATTATGGGGGTTCAAAGTTAATAAATATGCCAATTTTTATACATTTCTAGGCATGTAAATATTTATAGCATCATTCTTAAACGATATTCAAAGGTAAAACTACTATACATAAAAATATTGAGAAAGTTATATAAAACATTATTTAAATATCTTTCACAATAGGGTAGGTTAGGTTAGGTTATCGGGTTTTGTTCAAGTGACCACCTTCATTCGATCCCCCACCTCCACCCGCTTGAAAATATCTTTTTTATTGAATTTTATTCGAATTATAGTGTATGAAAATTGACAAAATAATCAACTTTCAACCCCCATAGCTTTTTGTGGGGGTGAGATCGCCGCAAATTTTTTATGGGGTTTTATTCGATCCCCCTACCCCCACCCCAACTTTTTATGGGGATGAGACCGCCACAAACTTTTTATGGTACAGTGATAGGGGAGACCTCCTCTTTCGATCCTACCCACCCCCACCCCCCAAAGGGGGTCTAGACATTTACCCGTATTTTGTCCCATAATTTTGTATTTCACAGATTGGACATCAAAATTCATAAATTAGTAAATTATTTTTCTGATAACTCGACGAACTTTTTATTCTTGTATTTCCTTTCTTGTAATGGAAACAACCCATAAGAATATTGCAATTCAAATTTTTACATGTACCGTAAATCTACTTTACCAATCTTTACTTATTTCCAATACATTGCTCTAAATGTGTAGGTGTTTCTAAAAATAGAAGGCTTCTACTAACTTCCAAATCTTGATAATTATTCATAAAATCACTAATATTTTGTATGCACACACTTATAAGTGTTTCATCTTTGATTCCTGTCTAAATGCACGCACACATGGAAAATTTATTTCCCCAGTAGTATCTAAAAATAATTTTAACTTGATTCTGTACAAATATTGAAAAAAAAAATTTCGCGACTGTTTAGTAAAATTATATTATCAAGTATAAAACAAACAAAACTACAGGCTATGAACGTTTGAGTAAATTTAATATGTTGTATATGATGCTTTGAAGATTTTAACAAATGATTCTTTTTTCTAATGAAAGATTTTAATTGTCTATTATTTATAAATATTATCTATCGATTATGAAAAACAGCATCATATGACAAGGATTTAATTACTATATTTGCTTTCTTATTTATTCAACAAACATATCGCATTACGATAAGATAACAATTAATGAAAGTTTTTTGAAGTAGAATGAATGCAATTAAATTGCTTTAAATCGTACAACTGCTTGTTTAACTAATGTACGATTTTATTATATGTGATGGTACTTTTTAATAATCTTATGTTTTCGTGATTCATTAAGTACCTACCCACTTGCCAATAAGTTTTTATCTGATAAAAAAAATATTGTCTCAACTGTTTTTATATTGACTGTATGTTTTTTTTCTGAATGTTAATGAAGAGTTTTGCTTAAAAATTCTAGATTCCCATTCGAAAATTTGTTTGTACCTTATCATCGTTGACGCTTGTCTCGTCATTTTTGAAGGTTTGTTTTATATATGACGTGTTATATGCAAAATATCTCGTTTTATATTTTTTGTATGACCACCCAATATCATGCACGCCAGAAATTCTCAAGGGTCGCTCGAAGTAACTCCTCCATTTGTGTAGGATTTTTATTAGTTTTAAAAATATATGATTGATTCCTATTTTTTTCAGTTCTGTTTTCGGTTGGGCGATATTTTTTATTGCGACGTGATAAATGTTGAATACGTTTAAATTTTGTGACACATTTAAAATAAGTATTGACAAATTATGTATACACGATGGCCCAAAAAGTTGTTTTAAACTTTAATCGAAAAATTTTACCATGTTAAATATGGCTCCAATCGAAAAAAGTTGTTAAGAATGCCAAAATGTGGGGCTACGCAAAAAATTACGGCCATATTCACTTTTTGGGACATTTGACTCTAAGAAAAGGCATTTGAATATGGGGGCTATGCAAAACATCGCGCTGATATTCAAATGTCTTTTTTTCGAGTCAAATGGCCAAAAAGTGAATATCGCCGCAATTTTTTGTTTAGCCCCATATTTTGGTATTCTTAACATTTCGTATATGTTTTTTTGATTAGAGTCATATTTCAAACGGCTACCATATAAACAAAACCTTATTTTTCAGACTATCTTGAATTAAAATAGGGAACAAGTTTTGTTTTGTTTGAAAAATTTTTCGACTAAACTTTGGCTGTGATGAGTATATTGCGTACTTTTTGGGCCACGCTGTAAATAACTACAAAAGTTTACAAGTAGCATTTTCAGTACTTTGTATTTTAAAATTACTTGAAAGTAATTTACATATATTTATTTATTTATTTAAAGTATACAGGCTCATATGTAAAATTGTTCGTTAAATGTTCGCAGTTTCTATTTAATATTATAATGGAATTACGGTTAGATTAAAATACGTTTACACGAGTTAATATGAATAATTGAAGAAGAGTTGATGTATAGAACTTTTTCTCGCGTTTTATTAATCACAACTCCAAATATACGTGAGGATGATCGCCTAAAGAATCTTTGAGGCCCATTTCCCATTTGTATCAAACGAGAAAAGCAGTGTCTACCTTCTGAAGTAGTATCAACTTACTCAATATTCTGTACAACAGAGAGAACCATAAATAATTTTGTGTCTGACGGATTGTCAAAAATTTTGTTTTAGCGAGCGTTAGAAAGTTTACTAGGTAACTTTTGGCATCACTTCGTATTCGTTAGCTATGTACAATTAGCAGCACTCACTCTTACTTCATTGTTAAAGAATTTGTTCACGAACAGCAATAAAAATAAACGCAATATAAGTATTATAATAGGTAGATTTATTATAAGATTGCCATGTTCTAATTTGTTTGTGCATCAGCAGTTCTGCACGAATATCTGCCGTGATTGTCATGTGATATGCGTCAATAAAATGTACG